GAAAATAACCAACCAACAACAACAGCAGCATCAGCAACATCCAACGACAATCACCATCAACGGGAGGGATTTGAAAGAGGTTACTTCATTCACTTATCTAGGGAGCATTGTCTCAACTACAGGAGGAGAGGACGAGGATGTAAAATCGAGAATCGGGAAGGCGAGAAACACATTCATCAGCCTGAAATCAATCTGGAAATCTTCGTCACTCAGCATCACCAACAAAATTCGGATTTTCAATACAAACGTAAAGTCACTTCTTCTATACGGATCAGAAACTTGGAGGGTGGGTCACAAAGGATATTTCCAAAAGGCTGCAGACATTTGTTAACAACTGTCTTCGCTCAATACTGAAGATCAGATGGCCGGAAAGAATCACCAACAAGGAATTATGGGAACAAACAAAGCAAGAACCAATCGCCCAACAAATATGCAGGAGAAAGTGGAGATGGATCGGACACTCACTGAGGAGACCGCTGGGTGACATCGCGCGTCAAGCCCTCGAGTGGAACCCGAAGGGGAAGCGGCGCGTGGGACGTCAGTGCAAGGGTGACATGGAGGAGATCGGGTGAAGAGGAGTTGAAAGAATATGGATTAACATGGATGCAGGCGAAAAGTATAGCAGAAGACAGAAGGAAATGGAGACGTGCAGTTGAAGCCCTATGTTCCACTAGGAACCCAAGGGAGCAACAACAACAACAACAAACAAATGAAGTTATGTAATAATAATATGAATAGTTCGATGAGTGAGTTTCACTCAGAATACATATAGGAACAAAGCAGGTATTAAGAAATTACGTAAGAATTCTAAATGAATGTAAGAATTATAAGCAATTAAAGAACAGGCAAACAAACAAAATTAGGTCATCAAAATCAACAAAGTTGTTACCATGACAGTAGAAGTGGTTGAGTAATCCACTTTTGTATGCACAGCTCCGGTTTTTCTATGTGAATGGGCAGAGCTTCAGCGATACGAAGAAGACAAAACTGTATTGCCTTTGGTAGGTTATTCGTGACTCTGTAGATTACTTTGAAGTAGGAGCCATTTGTTGAGATGGAATGATCAGTGTTAACCAGGTGTTCAATTGTCGCACTCCTTATTGCACCACTATTGCCTTTTCGCAACCATGCTGGCTGGATAGTGTTCTTGAATCCTCTTGGACAGGGTGCGCATCGAACGACCGATGTACTTGTCTGGCTCCACAGCAGCAGGTGAACTGATATACACACATAGAAGTGGTCAGATGCAGGATCTTGTCTTTGTGGCTTCTGTAGATCAGTGGGCGACTGAAGAACACTATTCTTAGCGTTGCTGCAAATAATATTCTTCTCAGAGATGATGTGGTCCTTCTCTTGAGAATATCGCTTGATAAATCTCCCTTTAAATCCAAGTTCATGTAGGCGCAAGTGAAGTTTCGTTTCTCCAAATTTTCGGTTTGATATTTTTGTCGATGAATCTTATTGGGTATCCACTTTGGATGAAGATTTCTCTTAGAATATCTACTTCTGCTTCTAGAACATTGGAACCACAGATGCGTCGGACGCAGGTGGCAAGTAATTTAATTCAATTCCGCTTTTGTTGAATGGTTACCCAGCTATAGAAGCTTGTTAGGTGACCATTCCAAGTAGCTTTCCTATGGATCGATCTTCTTAGGCTCCCATCAGCTCTTCTTGTTAGTTTCACATCAAGAAACGGAATTTTTGACTCGTTTTCCATTTCAAGAGTGGATTTGATTGCTGGATGGCAACAGTTAAATGTCTTCAGCAGTAGACTGGGGTCATTGTTGTCGTCACAAATGATGAATATGTCATCTACGTATCTTTTATACAGTCGTAAATTGTCAATGCCCACTTGGCTTTAGTGGACCTTTCTCGAGGCTTGCCACGAAGCAATCTGATAGTAGTGGACCCAACGGAGATCCGATTGCAATAGGATCTTTTTGTCTGTAGATGGTGTCGTTGAATGTGAACTGGACGTTCAGAGTGCATCTCAGTAGTAATTCCTTCAGATATGTTGTTGGTATTCCAATATTGAGATGGTTGTCATCTACATATTTACATATGAAGCAGACCGTTTCCGTGAGTGACACATTGGTGAAAAGTGACTCAGTGTTGAAGGACAGCATAATTTTGTTCGATACATTCAGGTCTTGTATGCAGTCGATGAACTAACTGAAAAGTGTCACGGAGCGAGTGTGTACATAGTTGTTTCCTTAGTTTGTGAATTCACTCAGTTCATCGTAGGATTATAAGTGAACTGGTTAGCATAAATTGACACACACCCACCCACACATGCACATGTATTCTCAACTAGTATTTGAATAGCCTAGTAACATACCGGTCCTCTGTTTCAGTCGACAAATCTAGTTCAAGTGTATAAATTTACTGAAATCACTATGTTACCTACGGCATAGGACAAGCTGTCGAGCCATGATGTTATTCAAATCAGACGGCGTTATCAGTCAATTAGAATTTATTCCTAATATAATAAATATTTGAATGGTCTAACAAGGTGTTATTTTTTTCAATAATTTATTAATTCCCATTTTGTAGCATTAAGAACACAGTATTTTTTTGTCTTTATTTTTGATTATAGTTTGATTCCACACAGTACTTTTGGTACAAGTGTGGAATTTTCAGCATATGATATCGGTAGCTCGAATTTTACAGGCTGACCACTGATATCGGATGTGCGTCGGCAGGGGATCGAACCCCGGATCATGTGCATGGTAAGCGCGAGTCCTAACCGCTCTGCCACCGACGCGAAGAGACTCTTTCAACGAATTTATGAACAAGCTGTACAATCGTATATATTTATGGAGGTCATATGAAGAGGAGATGAAAACATGTGGGCAGACTTGGAGCCAGGTGAAAACTCTAGCAGAGAACCGAACGCAATGGAGACGAGCGACTGAAGCCCTATGTTCCTCTAGGAATTAAAGGAAATAATAATAATAATAAGAAGAAAATTGTATCCGGTGAGGGAATTAGGTCAAAGGTGTGAATACATGAAATAATTACAGTAGTATGAAATGCAATTAAAATATTTGTGATTATAATCATAGTTAAATGTCAAGTAGCAAAACAATCAATGTCATATATGGAGTAATACATAAGGTGTATAGATGTTGGAAAGGGGTGCATAATTATGCGACTAGTAGGCGAATATAAAATGTTACGTAATGTGGTGTGGTGTGAAATTTGATAAGATAGAATTCAGAATTGTAAAAATAAAAAATAAGATTAATAATTTTGGGCTTAGATTGACAAGTGGATCAAGTGGAAACAATTCAGATTGACAATAGTAATGATCATAATGATAATAACAATAATAATGGTCATAGTATTAAGGGAAAGGTACATAGAATAAATAAATAAACAAAACAAATAAATACATGTCCATCTCCCTACGCCCAAGACAAAAGTAGGGATTGTACATACTTCTTTTGTATACAAAGGTTTGGCTTAAAGTCATGAATTACCAAGGCCTTCGCTGTCTTTAGAAGTCTGTAACGAAGAAAACGCGGACAGCAAGTTAGCAGGTATTCGATAGATGATCTTAAAATCATGGCCAGGGTTGACAGAGTGACAGAAGTCGATCAGGTGTTCTAGAATAGAGCTTCGCACACTCTTCCTTTCTCCCTTGTAAAACCATGGTGTTTGAATATGTTCTCGTATCCGTGTGGAAAGCGTCCTCTGACCACGGCCAATGTACCTCGCTCCACAAGAGGAGCAGGTGAACTGATAGATGCACATGGAGACAGCCAGACGGGAGAGCTTATCTTTTACAGAGTTAGAGAACAACTTGCGGCTGGTGAAAGTCATATGTAATTTTGCTGCAAGTAGCCTCTTGCTGACTGCTTTAAAGAGACCATTTTTGAGCATATTTGACCACCTTTGAATTCCAAGTTCATGAATAAGGTTTTCTTTGGAACTGAGTTGGTGACAAGTTTAGACTGCTTATCTTTCGTGTTACTGTCAATAAAACGGACCGGGTATCCGTTTTCTGTAAGCGTGCCTTGTAGAAAAGGCAAGTTCTGAGTCAATGCAATCAAAACTACAAATGTTTCTTAACCTAAAGCGGAGTGTTTCATACATTTATTCCCCTTAATGAATTTGAACAAAGCAAGAACTACAGTTTTATCAGAATAATATGGTACCATCATTTATTTCGTTGGCTTCTCATCAGCTGCTTACAGCCTAAATAAATTATGAGGTTTAAGTACAGACATGTTTTAACATACTTGCAAATTTTACATGTTGTCAGTTGACAGAAAATTCCACAATTAGTAAACAGTGCTCAGAAGATTGCGCTTATACAGTTTTTGCACAGGCAGTTCAAGTTAAAACAAAATAAATGTATGCAGAGAATGGTAAAGGAGTTACATAATGAAGATGAGATGTGCGTTAGATGCAGAGTGACTATTAAATTAGGTAGCAATATACTGAGTTGAACTCAAATCATAGAAACAACAGACAAACAAAATTACAAATTATAAAAGGAGGGTGAGGTTAAAGACAAAGATTACGTAATCAGATGAGGGAAAAAAAGGCATCCAGTTACCAAGGCAAGGAAAGGCTAATAACTGCTTCTTTCTGAACACATAGATCTGGTTTCAAGCGTCTGGTAGAGATCGCTTCAGCAAACTTAAGGAGAAATGAGTCCTTTTGCCTATTGATAATTTTGAACGACTTTTCGACGTCCACTTCATGACCCGTGTCGAGGAGATGCCTGGCGATGGCACTGTTTAAAGCATTTGTTCCCTTTAGACGTAAGCTTTTTGGTACATGTTCGGAAAATCGTAGATATGCCCTTCTTTCTGTCCTTCCAATGTAACTGCTCCCGCAGATGCACGTAAATTTGTATATACAGTTGGAGGTAACATGAGAAAGGTATCTGTCGATTTTCGATTGCACCAAAGAGCAAGTTGTTCGATAGATGGGAACTAGCTTGGCTGCAGGATACGCTACGGCTAGTGATGTAATCAGCCTTCTGTTGATCATCGCTGCAATGTTTTCAGCTTTATAATCAAGCTGGACGTAGAGTGGTTTTTTTCTATTGTGATTTGTTTTACATTTGTAACTTCAGATCTTCCGTACTTGTTGATGAACTTTTGAGGATACCCATTTCTCTTCAATATCTTTTCAAGGAACTCAAACTCCTCCTCTGGTTTCTCTATAGAGCATATTCTCCTCGCTCTATAGTACAAAGTTTTGACTAGACCACGTTTAAAGCTATTCGGACAAAAGCTATTAAAATGCAAGTATTGTCCTTTCCATGTGGGCTTTCGATAAATTGACTTTTGAAGACCACCGTCTTCTAGGCGTTCCATGGCGATGTCGAGGAAGTGAAACTTTCCGTCACTTTCATGTTCCATAGTGAACTCAATATTGGCGTGTGCACCATTGAATAATCTTAGTAAGTGTAAAGCATGACTTTCATTTTTACACACTATAAATGTGTCATCAACAGAACGACAGTAGGAAGATGTTTCGTCGACTGCATGTTTCAACTTTGTTCTTTCAAGATTTGACATGAAAATATCTGCTAGAACAGGGCTAAGTGGACTGCCCATAGCTACACCATCTATTTGGCGGTAAAACGTGTTGTCAAATTGGAATTGCACATCCATGGTACACATAAGCAGTAGGCGTTTGAATTCCGATTCTGGGAGTGGGAGAAGATCGGACTGCTGACAAATGATCTCAATAGTTTCATTGATTGGAATCATTGTGAATAGGGAGGTTACATCAAATGACACCATGAATTTATTTAGAACGTTCATTTGGTTTACACTTTCAGAGAAATGAAATGAGTCTTTCACCGTGTGCACGCCTAGCCGTTGACGAATAGGTTCCAAATTCTCTGCAAGCCGACGTGCCACCTTATGTTGGGGCGAGTTGATCATCGAAAGTATAGGTCTCAGGGGGACTTGTTCTTTGTGTATTTTCTGAACGCCATACATCGGTGGCAAGCGGGACCCCCAGGGTTTCAAATCATTGTACGTGTTGCTGTCAATCAATTTCTTCTATAGGAGATCTCTCAAGGCGTTTAGGATACGTTTTTTGACAGCATCTGTCTTATCTTTCTGGCAACTGTCAACTCTAAACCTCAACGGGTCATTTAACACAGCTTTCATCTTTGCGATATAGTCCTCTTTGTCCATCAGCACCACACAATTAGTTGGTTGTCCGTTCCATGTACGTTTCCAGTGGAAAGATCTTTTGAGAGATCCGTCGTTACGTCTGCTAAGGCACACATCAAGAAACGGAATACTTAGTTCAAATTTCTTTTCTACGGTGAATTGTAAAGAAGGATGGTAGTTGTTGAAAGCAAACGAGACGTCATCAAGAATTACGTTATTATCTCAGATAAAGAAATTGTCGTCTACGTATCTTTTATAAATGTCGAAATGACCGTTGGTTTGACTAATTTGAGAATTTTCAAGCTTTGCCATAAAACAATCAGCCAACAGGGGACCCAGTGGTGATGTCACTGCAATGCCATCTCTCTGTTTAAATATCTCATTATTCAAGGTGGATTGAGCATTCAACGTGGATCTCAATAAAAGCTCTTTCAGGTGGATTGTCGGCAACACTATTTCTAAACTATGTGTACCAATCAAATCACATAAATAGCAGACAGTTTCCATGAGAGGTACATTGGTAAATAGCGACGTCACATCTAATGAGAACATGACTTTGTCTGAGACATTTATGTCCTTCAATTTACGAGGCCAGGCTCGTTGAAGACTCAGCCACTTGGGTTTGCTCACTGCCTAGTTGGCTGGCCTGCTAGAAATCAATGACCCATACATGGATCGTAAGTTTGTCAACGCTTGCGTGATGTAACGCTCACCCCCCCCCCCCATAAATCATTTCGTTGATAATCAGTCTCGCCTTGACATGGTGAACTGTACTGCTCATGACTTCCCACCGCAGCTTCACGAAATCCATTCAGCAGCCATCAGTGAGCTGGTGAAATACACGAATAGGTGGTTATTCATCGAACTGACCAGTGGAAATCTACATTCTGTTCATAATAATGTTTGAATCGACATCAACAACGACTTAATTCGCCTACAAATGTGGTGTGCAAGTTAAAAGAGAATTATAAGTGGAGTGAAGTGCAGTGAACAATCTGGACGGTGATTGTACACACACATAATGAGCTGATTGATGAATGACACAAGTGTTGGTAGCGAATTAATTCCCTTTGCTGACGAGAAATAATCCTTCCCACTCATCACACGCCTTCTTTCACATATCTGCATGATTTATGTGAAGAGAATAAGTATAGTGTAAGCGAAGTGAAAGTGCTTCTTGGTGCCTGTCTGCCAGATGATGAAGGATGGGCATTCGATATAATTAGGAAGTCGTTTACTTCTGCACATTCAGTTGTGAATTGTTCAGCAGAGCAAGTTTTCAACATCCTATCCCATTGATTTTCGCGAATCACACTGGCTAACATCAACCCCCAATTAACATGCGTCTACTCTATGCTGCTGTCTCGGAATGAGTGATGAAGCGAAATGATTTCAGGTGTCATCTCATCATCGTCGTCTCTCTCCCACCCCATAAGACCAGTCATATTATGCTGTTGACTTCTCTGTGTGTGCATGGATTTCACTAGTGGTTAACTGAGTCAATACATAAAATTAAGCTATCCTCCTATCCGTCCAAAAAAGAAGGAATCCAAGCTCAGGGAAGAGAATGCATGAAACACGCAGATATTAAGACCTCGCGTAAATAGGCAGCCACTGATTTGTTATTACAAATTATCCTATACCTCACTCAATTATCAACCAAATAACCTTGAGTTGAGCGATCAAATCGTCAACCTCACAACTAAATCTCCCTCTTTCTTATCGTTATTGATGTTACTATTTTGACATGTAAATCCATCGTGAAAACCTCACAATTTGACTGGTTTCCTCGAGGTTATTTCGTTAGTTATGGTGTGGTATCTGCTGTGCATAGTTGTTGACTCGTTGGCTGCAGTATCCTGTAATCCAGTTAGTATCACAAGGACATCTGAGCTCTTCAATGATTTTGATTGGTTTATTTATTCATCACTTGCTGTCTAACATCCTATTGGTTAGAAATTGAATTTCAGTCATTCGATCAATAACACTGATAAAAGTGAAAGTGAATACATTCAGGTGAAGAGATTTAAGCATTTTATATATGCGCAAACAAAGTTCACTTTTAACAGTTGGAAAAATTTTGGTCCGATCGTCTCATGAATGGATTCGAAGATAACATCTTTTCAAGCATACTCATTGCTAAAATATGGTTAGAATATGTAGATGATACTTTTGTAGTGCTACTGTAGCAACAGAAGACAAGGGCAACAGATAGTTTTATTACGAAAATCAGTACGTATTTATATGTATTTCATGTACATTATTATAGCTTATCCAAGCAGACAAACATAGTTTTCTGATTGGTTGTTTCTGGTTTCTCGGACCGTTAAGCCATATATCTGCGAATCTTATTTGCCCATGTTAAGTCTGCTGTGAATGGTTGTTGAATCAGCCTTGTCCACATTTTCTCACGTCCAATATTAGTGACCTAGACATTGACGTAAATTAATGTCTGTCAATTGGCTAGCAGCCTGCTCTCACCACACTACAACGAACGAGATCTACAAAGTTAATTCTGGAAGAAATTGAACAATATATCTCCCAGTATCCAGTTTACTTCGTAAGTTGAATCAGACCTCGGTGAACTCTTGTGGTGATTGACAATTTCTATCTCTGTATTGTTTAAAATACTTACTGTTGACTGTTGATATGTTTCTTTTATGAATTGCATAATAATTCCGCTAAATACAAATTCCTGATTGCTGCCCTCTCTGAGTTTTGGTTGGATTCGTGTAACTCGGTCATCTCGAAATACTAATATTCCTATTACAATAAATTACTACAAATTGGCGTCGCGATGGAGCTAAGTAACCTGGGAAAATTCCCCATTAATGGGTCTCCGCGGGAGATTGCTGATTATTTGGAATGCTTTGATGCGTGGTGCATTTCAAAGAATGTTCGGGATGACAAAATACCTGCTCATTTCATCACTACTATTGGGCTTGAGGCATATAGCCTAGTGAAGAATCTGGCGTTTCCAGATAAACCCATTTCGCTGCCATATGCTAAGCTCCGTGAACTTCTTATAGATCACTTCCATGTAACTACTTTTGAGACCAGAGAGAGGGCTCAGTTCAACAAACTGGTACGTTCTCCCAACCAGAAGATTCGAGAATTTATTCTTCAACTTCAAATTCAAGCCTCAAAGTGTAATTTTGGAGATCAGCTGCATACACAACTACGTGATCGTCTAATTGCTGGAATCAACATTCCTAAATTAGAGAAGGAGTTGATTCAGATTCCTTCTTGTACTTTTCAAACTGCTAAAGATGTATGTATTACATATGAAGATGTCAATAATGAATACTCTGCTCCCACTACGTCAGTATCTGATGTTATGCTTTCTAAAGTCGAAAATACAAGTGGTCATGGAAAGCAATCCAAACTGCCGTCCACAGGTAATAGAATGCAGCGAGAGATCAAAAACATTAAACTGTGTTTATCCTGTGGAAAGTTACATCTACGAAGCACTTGCCGTTTTCGGAGTGCTAAGTGCTATAAATGTGGTAAAGTTGGACACATCAAGACGGTTTGCAGGAGTTCGAGTACTTATGTTGCTCAACATTCTTATAATTCTCCCAAGCTGTCTAGTAAAATGGAGTCTATGTGTCTTTCAACTTTTCAAAATACTCAAGCTAATCCAATGAAAACCTCCACTGCAAGTTCAGCAACGCAAGCATCAACTGTATTCAAAAATGAGGTAGCCAAGTTGCAATGTGAACTGTCGAAAGCACGAAAAGACCTGAATGAGATGAGACAGCAACTGATTAAAATGGAGGAATTGTTGCACATGCATAGACTGCGTCTGTTGAATGCAGAGCATACAAGTTCTTGTGAAAGTCCTGCAAAACTATTCAAATCTCGAATTCTCAAAAAGCATCTGATGTCCACGACTTCTAATGTACATTATTACAAAGGGAATGACTACAGACCTTCTGTTGGAATCACACTACAAAAAATGGGAAATCGAGTGGTGAAGATATTAAACATCAAAGATCACTCAGTTCATAACGGACACCTGGACAAAGTGACAATAAATGAAGTAGGTCGTTCCAATTATAATATTATTGATTCCGCTAATAATCCTGATTTTGTAGATAATTCAGAAATAGGTCCAGATAATACTGATGAAAATAATATCACAGAATCAGTTAGGTCGCAGCTACTTGCAAGCAAACCGAGACATCGTTATAAATACGCAAGGAGATATTCGAGGTGTGGCGGATGTGGTGATTGACTATTTCTATCTCTGTATTGTTTAAATACTTACTGTTGACTGTTGATATGTTTCTTTTATGAATTGCATAATAATTCCGCTAAATACAAATTCCTGATTGCTGCCCTCTCTGGGTTTTGTTTGGATTCTTATAATTCCGTCATCTCGAAAATCTAATATTACTATTACAATAAATTACTACAACTATCATTTCTCGACTGCCAGACTAGTTAAGAGGAGAGAAAACGGACATTTTAGTACATCTGTGTTCAGGAAGAGAACACACTCCAACAAATATTCAGACTTCGGATCATCACACTCCATCAGCGCAAAGTTATCAGTTGATTCAAGTCTTCTTAGACGAACACAC